AAGAGATTCCTAAGGCTCTTTTGTACCGACCAAAGACACATTTGATTCTTTAAAACTATCAGTATGTAAATTTCCACAGATGTATGGTTTGTGCAAAACACATAAAACCGATAATCCTCTAAGTCAATGTGTGTATCTCCGACACATAAACTTGCTCAATGGTTGTTGGAATTATTGGACATTTGAACTGAACTCAGTGCATCCTTAAGCTTGTGGAAGCTGTAGCTGACAATTAGGAAGTCTAAACACCTTTATACGTTCGAAGCAACAATTCATCATCACAATAAACAAGCCTGCCTTGGTAAACTTTGTATTGATACTAGCCAGGGTAGATGTACTATAGTACCTCTCTTCTTTGGTTTAGTGATCTTTATTGTTATTTTCACCTTCAATATGTCGTTTTAACTTGAGCTTGGTCTATTTTCTCACCTCTTTAACCTTTGCGATTATCAAATATGTATATATATATACCTTTGACAAGTTCGTGTGTGATCAGATTGTTCGAAATAATTGTCGCGCAAACACATTACATGATTCAGACAAATTGCATATTCTTGCTATTGTGTCTGAAAAGATTTTCTTGAAAAGACTTCAGTAATTTTGAAGTTGCTTGGTAACAGGAGAATAAATGAGGTCTAAATAAATGGATATCACAAACTCAAAGCATTAGTTGTGAAAAGCGAATGGACTCTTGCGATAAAATCGATAATATATGTGTCAGAATATTTTTTTGAAAAATTACTTTAGATAATGTTAATTTCACAGTATACCGCTAAGGGATGACTGGTTTTTACCTGTGTTACTCCAGAATTTAATTGACAGCAAGTTGTCGTCACAGTAGTATTAAAATACTGTGGACTTTTAAGGCATATATATTCCTTTGTAACATGTTCAACAGTGGGAATAGAAATACTGTCGGTCTTGCAGGCTTGTTTTACTATATCCTGATTCGTAAGAGCGGTTGATATAAAGCATTACTATGGTTTTACTTTCATTTCCTGACTGCCTTTGAATATTTCTCTTTATTATAATTACTATTACTTGATTTCTGTTAATGTCGTTACATCAGGGAATGTAGAGCTTTTGGTCTGTGAGTTGTCTTTATGGTCTACGATTTCATTTTACCGTTTTCAGGAAAGACAAATTCCTGCCATTCAATGTTACTTCATTTTTCAGGGTATTGCCTTCAACTTCCTTTACTGCTTATTTCTAATGTACTAGTATTACTGTCAGTATAATCTCTACAGAATAATGTGCGTATTCTGTTCCACACAGTTTGTTTGATAAGCGTAATCGAAATCAATATTATTAGTATTATTACTGTTTCCTTTAATTCATAGAGGAACATAGGGCTTCAGCCATGCACATCTACATTGTGCTTGGTTCTCCGCTAACGTTTTCACATGGCTCCACGTTTGCCCACATGCTTTCATCTCCTCTTCACATGACCTCCTCCTCCATTTCACCCTCGCAATGACGACCAATTAACTCACCGCTTCCTATTCGGGTGGCCCTTCTTGCGATGGTTTTTTTAGAGTATGGCCAATCCACCTTCATTTCTTCCTGTTTATTTATTGCACAATCGGTTCCTGGTTGGTTCGCTCCCAGAGATACCTCTCTGTTGCTGATCTTTTCCGACCGCCCATCTGATCTTGAGTAGTATTGAGCAAAGACAGCTGTTGATGAAAGTCTGCAACTCGTTCGAAGTGCCCTTCGTGATGCGGCGCCAATTCTTTAATCCGTATAGCAAGTAGCACTGACTTCTCATTGGAGTTGAAAATCCGGATCTTATTTTTCATGCTGAGTATATATCATATATATATTATCATATATCATCGGCGAAGTCCAGATCCTCCAAGTATTTTGTGTGGGTCCATTTTATGTCTATCTCCTCGTTGCATTATCCAGTCTACCGCCCGTAATCAGGAAAATCATTGGATATAGTTGGCAGCCAGCCGGCCTTGTCTTACTCCCGTCTTCACTTCTTCGAAAGATTCCGCGAGTTTCCCTATGTAGATTACTTGGCATGCAGCAATGTCGTACAAGTGTTGGATGAGCTGTATAATTATTGGCTGCACCCCGTAGTAGCAAAGTAGTTGACTATGTTACATTTTAATTTCTGTAGTAAATCCCTATCTACAGTCACTTTTCTATAACATCAAAATTTACCATGTATCATGATAGTAGAAGTGGTTGAATGATTTTCTTTTGCACACATAACTCTAGTTTTTCCAACTGAATGGCTTAGGCTCCAGCAATACAAGGGAGACGAAAGCGTATTGCCTTTGGTAGGTAATTTTTGACTCTGTAGATTACTTTGAAGCATGAGGCGTTGGTTGAGATGGAATGATTAGTACTGATAAGTACTGATAATCAAAACTCACTCATTAAATTACTCATCTTATTGCGCAACTACATTACACTCATTCAACTTCTCCTATGCATTGACTAACATTAACAACCATGTATTTCTGACAACTCATCGCCACTACCCTCAAACTAATTTTCATCCGGCACCCTAGTTACAGTTTGATTATTCATCACATTTTTCCAAATATTTTGATGACGTAAACGACAACCCTAACTTATTTTATAATTATATATAATTGTGATCATACAGTTAAGTGAATGAATTCACCGCTGAGAAGTGACTCTTCGCTGAACTACGTGTTTTGTCTTCATTAATATTTGGCTGGGGACTATATACGAATCCCTCAGTAAAATTGATATAAGTATAAAACTTAGGCACTGTGGTAGAGTGTAACTCCATTATGGATAAGATTTTATTTTGATAAATCACACAGTAATAGCCATTCGATAAGATCTGATACGCATCACCTTAAAAGTGATACTTAATTTGCTTAAAAAACTTATTAGGTTGCAGTAACTTTGCAAATTTCAGGGTAAAGTAGAAGATATAAGAATAAAACTTGGGCACTGTGGTAGAATGTAATTCCATTATGGGTAAATTTTTATTTTGATAGAGTCTCACAGTGTTATACAGTAATATTTACTGATGACGTTTCGAGCACAATTTATTGCTCATTATCATATCACCTTGATATGATTATGAGCAATAAATTGTGCTCGAAACGTCATCAGTAAATATTTCTGTATAACACTGTGAGACTCTATCAAAATAAACATTTACCCATAAAGTAGAAGATGGTTTGTAGTATGCGAATTTACCATTTGATTGAGCGAATACATATAGTTGGATGATGCAACGGTTGGAAGTTAAGCGATCACAGTTCAGTGAACCGCATTTTTGGCAGATTTCTTTCTAAGTAAACTACAAAAAATGGAGCTTTGAACAACCTTATCAAAAAATTCTCATTTTACTGCCGGTATATGGATGACACCTTTATTCTTTGTGATAATGATTTGGATAGGAGCACAATAAAAACTGAATTCAATGAAGCATTTTCTGCTACGAAATTCACGCGCGAATAGGAATCCCAAAATGGAATTACTTTCCCAGATGTCCTCCTTACAATAAAACCAGATGGTAGCATAAAAAGAAATTTGCATAGGAAAAGTACATGGACAGGACCAGATACACATTTTCAGAACACCGTCCCTCTCCAGCACAAAAGAAATTTAGTAAAGACCCTCAGCCAAAGAGTTAGAGCTATACGCTCAGAAGAAGTAATTGAAGATGAATTAAGGATTGTATATGATACCTTGATTGAAAATAGTTATGCCGACAAGTTTATCAAGAAACATAAGACTAAGAAAGCGGAAAGGGACTACTCACTATCCGTAAACAAGAAGCCTCTGTATATACGACTGTAATTCAAGGGCAATATACCAAGCGAAATAATTACGAAGAAATTAAGAAAATAAGTTTAAAGAATGTTTAATGCTGGCGAACTAAATGTCTTATTTTCTACACAACCGATGGTGATTTCTCAATTGAAAGATGAAGTACCTAGACTAGCCACTTCTAATTGTATCTACCACTTCAACTGAGCTTATGGTGGAGCGAATTATATTGGCCGTCTCTCTAGAAACTTGATTTTTCGTGCTCGCTTGGGAACATCTATCAGCGTGGATAAATAAAGGGGTAGTAAAAACTGTCATCAACTGCTCAATATTTGAACGCCTATTCCAAAATGGCCACGAAGCTAATAATGAAGAATCTTTCTCCAACATCATCTATCGGGTCCCAAACAAATTGCCAAAAGCCTGCAGGTAGCACATACTCCAAACAGCAGAGACTATTGTAATTCGTACGAAACAACCATTGCTTTGTGTGCAAAAGAAGCAAGTCCAGCCAGCCACTACTACTGCCCTGTCTAGCCTTCAGTGGAGCCCATAAATTCATGAATTTGTAATATTATCTTTCCTAATTCTTCTGACATTCAGTTTATTTTTATGTTGATGCTATTGAGCCGTAATCTATCAATATTATTGATTCGATGTTATTTAAACCGCATTAATGTTGTTGTTTATGACACTGATTCATTCATTCACTATAATGTATATATAACTGTAGAGCCTGATGATGAAGTTATCGAAACGAGTATTCTTTGTTCAATAACCATTCTTTTTAAAATGAGTTAACAAAACTGATATGACCGTAGTAGTAGCGCTAATGAATTTCCTACCTAGTCGATTCGTGAATCAGTTGCTCGAGCCAATATTGACAACAACATCAACACGATACCACTGAAAACCCGACTTAAGAAGACCCGAAGAGAAGACTGACTGCTGATGTGGTAAGTTTTCACTGTCGCGTACCAAAAGTGAAATTGATTGGAAGCGCTTGTGTATATATGTAAATGCTGTGAATGACCTTGAGAGACAGTGACTACATTGATAAATTAAAACAGTCAACAACAAATAGGATTTCAAGGTCATTAGTGGGGTGAGAGAAATTAGGTTTGTAAATCAATAAATGGTGTGATTATATTTCTTGTTGGCTAAATTGAACCATTAACCAGAATTCTTTCTCTGTTATTTTTCATTGTAAAAACATTTAGTTGAAATTAGAGACAATGGATCATGAAACAGATCAAAGTGTACAAAACAGTTTAGTGGATGGTGTTCCAAATTATGCACAACCTGATCCAATGAAGCATAGAGAGAAATCTATGGCTAAACAAGATAATGGGGAACAAAAAGGCGAGACAGTGAATATTAAGAAGATAAATCCACCTGAGAATGGTCAATTCCAGAATAATTCAGATGGTGTAGGTTTGTTTTCGTCTGTCTGTTTATTTGTCATTTTGTCATGACTTTAGACCTTATAAAAAAATTGTCCTGGTCAGTAGTGGTGTAACGATGGAAGAAGACAAGGGCCAGGCAACAGATCGTTTATTGAGAAAATCAATGGATATTTATAGATTTTTATGTACATTACTATTCGTTATTCTTAGCAGAGAAGTAACGTCTTCTGATTGGTTGTTTTCTTGCTGAAGGTAATTCTGTACCGTTTCTCAGAAAGTTAAGCCATATATCTGCGAATCATATCCGCCCACGCAAAGTCTACTGTGATTGGTTGTTGAGCTAATCTTTGTTCTTGTTCTTTTCTCACGACCAAGATTTGGGACGTAAACATTGACGTGTAAATAGCTGTCTGCTGATTTTGGCTAGAGGACAGCTCTCACTACAGTGGAAGCTATCTCAAAGCCGTTCTACGAAGGTTAATCCTATCTTCTGGCTGTACTGAAGGATTTATTGAACTAATGGTTGGCAGAAAGCTAGTATAACTTGTAGCCTGACCAGCTTTGTAGGTTCTTCCTTACTCTGATTCTCGAGCTATTATGATGTCTGTGTTGACGTTTGTATAGTTAAGAATTGATTGTGCAGTGTAGAATGAGGTGGAACAATCAGACTGTGTTTACAAATGGTGTTATTACTATTTTTATCTATTCCTTAGGTTCTGAGTGGAAAATAGGACTTCAAAAGCTCATCTCACTTGTACTTTTACTGGCTACATGACTACTCACAGGATCTTCCCCATATCAACCTAGGAGCTATCCTTAACTCATCACTTCTCATTTGGGTTTCACTTGAGTGTGTAGCAGCACTCGCAGCATATATCGAGTGCCTCCTTTCCTTTCTGCACACCTGTTGGTAGATAAGTTCTTCGTTGGATTGTTCCCAGAGTTCCATGTTGTTGTTCATCGTTTTTGACTGGCAGGCCAGCCATGTTATCTTCAGTATGTAGCCATCGAAGGCGGCAGCTGTTGATAAAAGTCTGTACCTTATTGGAAATCCTTTCGTGACACACTGGTCAGGTTTCTGACCCCTACAGAAGACGTGACTGACTGACTTCACATTTGTGTTGAACATAATCCGAATCCTGTTCTTCATGCTGGCTGGCTGGCTGAGTAAAGCAGATTTCCAAAAAAATTTTAGGTTGATGAAGGCGTCTGCTGCCTTTACGATTCTGGCTTACTTTGATATATTCATCCATTCCAATGCCTGTGATTGCAACCGTGCTTCCTGGCCAGATAAGTGAAGGAAGTAATCTCTTCCAAATTTCTTCCATTGGTGGTGATTGGTGCTGTTGTTTCTGTCACTGTTGGTTGGTTATCTTCATCACCTCCGTCTTATCTACTTTACTCTATTTCGGCTATCTCCTACTGGAGGATGAGCCGGCTTCATGAACATCTCGAATCATCGCTGCAAGAGAGTTCATGAAGTTTCATGGGAATTTGGTACGAGTGATGTTCCCAGAATCGCTCGGCCTTTTGTTTGAGAGTGCAGCTCTGGCCTTTACACAACCAAGTGTGACCTACAAGGCAGCAAAAGTGGAGTAGGGAGTCCACTATCCATTGGCAGCCGGTGACCGGAGTTCGGTTCACACGCCTTTTTGAATGGGGCCAGACATCCAGGACACCCAACAAGCCCTTTGTCCATACGTCTGCCGGTGAGCTCCAGTGAGTTTCATACGCCAGTCGTTGGAGGTTTGGAATCAGGGTTTAGCCATCTTCCCTAGACTGTCATCCAATGGACAGTCAACCCGGTGAAGAGCGCCGGGCATCCGCTTTCGCCCTCTTACTTTGGTGAAAAACACCTCCGCCACGTGAAGGCAGTGAGTAGGACTTCCTCAGGAGAGGCTATGTAAGACGCCCGGTCATATGGGAGCATTTCAAGAGGTGTGCGGAGGGGTGGCCAACCCGCAGCGCAAGGCACCCACCCCTGACCATCCTGAGGCTTTGAAGGCTCGCCTTGTAACCCAAAGTCCTGTATTCGCTGCACTACCCACTTCTTCAGCAAGTTTGTTGGTTTTCACACACCTACAACTCTTCGAGTTTGTGTGTATGACATTAAACATAAATGACCCACATGCGAAATCCAGATCCAACAGAGTCTTCTTATTGGTAACTGCAGCGTATTCCTGTCTTGTCACTCACACCCAATGCACAGTCTGACGCATAGTCCAGTCAATTCAACACAATTATGAATGTGATTGTGGGTGATAATAGGCAGTCAGCCAACCAGCCTTGTCTTAATCCTGTATTCACTTGAGAGCCACGATTCGCTGAGTTTTCCATTGTGGACCGCCTGACACGTGGCAGGCATTGTGATATAGCCAGTTTTTACATGTGGTTGATAAATATTTGGGATCGCTGTGCCCATAGTGTAGTGTTGAAGTGGTTTCCAAATTACTTCTCCGTCAACTTTGTCGAAGACGTTTTCAAAGTCTCTGAAGGAAGCTGAGGTAGAGCGTGGTTGTTGACTGCCATTCTATGCTTCGTTCTGTGATGATGATGCGTGAAGCTGCAATTCGTTCAACACATGATTTTCCTTTTCTGAATCCACCTCGTTCCGGCGAGCTGGTGGAGTTCTGCATCCAAGGTATCTGAAATCTCTCCCGTTGATGGTGATTGGTGCTGATTCTTGTTACTGTTGCTGTTGCTTGGTTGGTTGATTATCTTCATCATCCCCTCCATCCTCTCTATGTTAACCTGGAGTCAGTCCTGTCACCGCTGCACTGCTTCTCCAGGCACTTTGTTCCTGCAAGTCTAAGAGTTTGTGTGGCATTAAACATAAATGACCCACACGCAAAATCCAGATCTTCTAGAATCTTCTATTGGGTCAGTCAGTGCAGCGTATTCCTGTCTTCTCACTCACTCCCAACTCACAGTCTGACGTATGATCCAGTCCATCGCAATTAGGCATGTCATCGTCGGTGATAATAGGCAGCCAGCCAGCCAGCTATGTCTTACTCCCGCATTCACTTCAAAACCGGGATTCTCTAAGTCTTCTGTCAAATAGCCAGCTGTTGGATTTTGCTGATGAAGACTTGAGGTACGCCGTGTTTATATTGCCATCGACTAAATTGATCCTGGTGTGAAACCGGTATAAATCTAGTTACGAAACTGTTTTTTTTCGCAACAAATTTGAAGTGCGAACTGCTGAGCTGACTTCCTGCAGATGTGGACAATAAATTTTTGTGTTCCAAGGTATTTATCTGACACACCTCAAGTAATTGGTAGCTCACAGTCAGTGTTCTTTCAACAAAACAGAAAGAAGGCATAATTTACTTGAAACGTGGTATTATGATTATTATTGTTCCCTTGGATTCCTAGTGGAACATAGGGCTTCAACTGCACGTCTCCACTTGATTCTGTCCTCTGCTACACTTTTCACCTGCATCCATGTTAGTCCGTAGTGTTTCAGCTCCTCTTCACACGATCTCCTCCATGTCAACATTGGATGTCACACTCCCTGCTTTCCTTTCGGGTTCCACTCGAGCGTTGGACTGACGCGCGATGTCACCCAACGGCCTCCCCAGCGAGTGTCCAATCCATCTGCACTTTCTCCTGCATATTTGTTGGGCGATTGGTTCTTGTTTTGTTTGTTCCCATAGTTTCTTGTTGGTGGTTCTTTCCGGCCATCTGATCTTGAGTATAGAACGAAGACAGCTGTTGATAAAGGTCTGCAACAGGCTGTTGGAAATATTCTTTGTGACCCTCCAAGTTTCTGATCCGTATAGAAGAGCTGACTGACTTGACGTTTGTATTGAAAATCCGAATCATTTTGTTGTTGATGCAGGCTGAGTGACGAAGATTTCCAGATTGGTTTCAGGTTGATGAATGTGTTTCTCGCCTTCCCGATTGTCGATTTGACATCTTCGTCCGTTCCTCCTGTAGTTGAGACAATGCTCCCTAGATGAGTGAATGAAGTAACCTCTTTCAAATTCCCCCCCCCCCGTTGATCTTGATTAGCGTTGGATGTTGCTGATGGTGTTGTTGTTGGTTATTTTCATGACCTCCGTCTTGTCTATGTTCACCTGGAGTCCTGTCTTTGCTGCTTCTTCGACCAGTTTGTCGGTTTTCGCTTCTAAGTCTTCGATTTTGTGTGACATCAAACATAAATCATCCACGAAATGTAGGTCTTCTAGGTTCTTCACGTCGGTTCAGGATATCTCTGTTTTCTCGTTTCTCACTGTCTGACGCATAATCCAGTCCACCACAATTAGGAATATCATTGGTGATAATAAGCACCCTTGTCTGACTCCTGTGTTTATTCCAGACGCCTCACAGAGTTTTCCGTTGTGAATCACTTGACATGTGCCGTGGTAGATATTTAATTATTTGCCCAACATATTTCCGACATTCTTAGCACACCTGTACTTGTTATACAAATTTATACACTAGGTAGAGAGAGCATAGACGATTGCAGTTTTTGTATCAATATAGGTCGAAATTCCCATTTATGCATTTAGAAAAAACAAAAGGATTGAGCTAAGAAATATGCATTCCTTTTCAATTAGTTCCTAATCTTTGGCGCTACAAACTAATATATTTATATATATATATAATCTTTTTTACATCAAAATGTTTTACCAGTCAAATGGTTATTTTAGTTAATCAATTTTAGGTATATGCGGTGAAATTAAAAGATTAACGCTCACCAGAACATCAATGAACCAATAGATATTAGTAACAAGATATCTAATTTTCGAAGGAAGGAAGGGTGGAAATTAATTATGGAATTCAAGATAAGTTAATTCTTAGACAAACAAACAAGTTAAGAGAATTAACTAGAATTGTAAAAGTAACAGTGTAAATTATAAAGAAAGCAGCGACTCTATCTCCTTTTTGGACGTCCTATTGACTAAGCGAACAAACGGAACAATATATAGACATTTGTGTCGGAAACGCGCCTCCTGAGTTTCGTGTCTGTATAATACAAACATAATCTGCTTACATGTCTGGTTCACAGGGCTAGAATTACCTGTTCAAATGAGACACTATACAAAGAACTCGGTAATATTCGTGACCTACTAATTAGGATTAAATTTCATTTGTTATGTCGATAGCGAGATCTTATCACAATGTCTCAGAAGGGCCTTCGAAAGAACTTTCAACTTAACTAAGCTATGCTGTGTATTCACTGTCCAACCAATACTTAGTTCAAGAAACAAAGAGAGACTATCCTGCTCGACCTCTTCCATGTGTATTTACCAGTTTAACTGCCTGTGCAGAGGTGGTTACATAGGGTGTACGATCAGGCAAGTTCATCGTCGAATTGTTCAACATCTCCCGTCTTGGTTTGCGAAAGATCCGAATAAAGCTATACGCAGTTCAGTGCTAACTCATCTCATCTATACTGGACATCACATCGACTCTAACAAAGCTTTTAAAGTTATTTATCGTATTTCACCCAACCTCTTGCCGCATGGTCTACGAGTACGGCTTTGACGCACACATCAGAAGCATTCGGAATTCATCTGAACAAGTCGAATCTGTGTGTCAGTTCAAAAAAAATTCGTACAAGCCCATTTCTTTGCCATGCCCAACTATATAATATGTGTTAAGATTTTAAAAATGGTTCCCCCCCCCTTTGTAACTATCTTTTCACTTAGTTATTTTCTACAATTCTAGCTAATTCTATTAACTTGTTTGTATTTTACGTAATTCTTCTGAGTTATCCCAATCTTCTTAGTCATCATTGCTGTTTTACAAATTTCTTGATGATGTAATAACTTGTTGATGATGTCTAAGAATCGACTTATCTTGAATTCCTTAATTAATTTCCAACCCTCCTACCTTCTAAACTTAGATGCCTTGTTACTAATATCTATAAGTTAATTGATGTTTTGATGAACTTTAACATCCTAATTTCACCCTTCGCTTAAGTATGCCCAAAACTGATTAACTAAAATAACCACCTGATTCATGAATTTAATAATAATAATAATGTTTAGCTCACTCAGTAGGGTATCGTAGGTAGTCAAAGAAAACGAAGAAGAATTAGGTTTCGTTAAGAAATGCCTAAGAGATAATGAATACCCAAAGGGATTTATACAAAAGTAGAGCAGAGAAAAAGATAAGAAAGAAAAACACCCAACTGTAGAAAGGAAGAAAGTGTATATTCGTCTCTCTCCCAGTCAAAGGAGATGCAGTGTCATAAAAGATTGACAAAAGAATGAAAGGTGCAATAAAAAGAAGCTTCCATGCAGCTAAACGCATAAAATTATACAGCACCACTTCTTCTATAAGCCAAACAAAACTGGATAATTACCCTGCCGATGTCACCTAAAACTGCGTTTATGAATTTATGTGCACTTGTGGGAGCAAATACATTGGAAGGACGGAAAGAAGGGCTTCCAGTGGCTGAACGGTATACGAGCTTGCCTTGTGACCGGAAGGTCCTGGGTTCGAACCCTGACAGTGGGTGCTTACTGCCTATGATTCCCAAACTAGGATGAAACAGCTGTGGCTGGTTTTCAATGGTTCTCTAACTGATATCAATCCGTGATCAACTCGGAAAAAAACAAAACTAACCCTTACAAACCAAACTATTGAAAATATGAACTAATGGAAAGAGAGACTAGTAATAACAGAATCTATATTCATTAAGGTCACACCGGATACATACATGTAACAAGGGTGACTCAGCAGCACAACTGTCAACAATATGGAATATAATTCTGAATACAAAAACATGAATGAACAAAAGAAAGTTAACTATATCTATTATGAGTAGAAATCATAAATGTGTGAGTAAAACAATCCCAACAGTTGGTGTGTGAACATGAGCAGTAGTAATTTTGCTCGAAAAATTACCAATAACAAAACTTATCATTGTGTGTGTAAACCATTGAAATATAATTATACTTCATTTGAAGTAATAATAATTATAGTAATAATAGTAGAAATGACATTTGTAAAAAATTATATTTGTAAAGTCTCAGCGAGATTGAAATGAGTAATTCCAACGTTTCGTTCGGCAATCTGGTACGAACTTCTTCAGGGAAAATAATCGAAATTAACATTACAGAGGTTTACATATTAAATGAATATCTCTTGTTTTTAATAACTTTGTCCAATCATGAGTCATGAAACAAGTACCAACATGTATAATAAACAAAATTTTATGAGCTGTGATCAAAATTTGACCTCGGACTTACAAATATTGATCCACTTTTGTTCAACACTTCAAACAGAGTGTGTATGTGTGTGGGTAAACAGTTGTAAAACATTTCTTAACGTCGGTGGCACAGTGGTTAGGACTCTCGCCGACCATGCACATGGTCCGGGGTTCGATCCCCCACCGACGCACACCCGATATCTATGGTCGGCCTGTAAAATGTGGGCTACCGATATCCATGCTGAAAATTCCATACTTGTACTGAAAATAAGATGTGGCATCAAGCTGTAATCAAAATAAAAAAAATAAAAAAAAAGATATAGACAGTCGAGAATTTTGTCCGAGTATTAATAATTAGTGATACATATCCATTTTTTATTTATTAATAAGGATTTCCTATGCATCAGCTAACACCACACCTTCATGTCTGTTCAAACTGTTAGTATCTAGAATTTTATGATTAGACGTATTTTCAAAATTATGGTGTTTAGGATTAGAGTTTAGTAGAAGCACCCTGTCGCACTTATTGCTTTGTCCTCTTTCTGGAGATTGAGCTGCTTTATTCGACCTACTGGAGTCGGCAGGTGACTCAACAGCCACGGATTTAGGATATGCATTCTGTTGCAGACAACGGAGAGTGAAAACACGATGATTGTGCCAGTTACATAGTTTCTTTGTTAATTTAATTTGATAGCAAAATAATTCCAATGAACTGTCGTCAAGATTTGACAGAATAGTTCTAAAATATTTGGGCGCGGAGTGAGAAGTAGACATTTGTAAAAAATTATATTTGTTAAATTTCAGCGAGATCGAAATGAGCAATTCCAACGTTTCTTGTGTTCGGCAATCAGGTTGGAACTTTTTCAGGGAAATTAATCGAAATTAACATAACAGCAGAGGTTTATATATAAAAGGAACATCACTTGTTTTTGAAAACTTTGTCCAATCATGAGTCATTCAGCAAGTATAATCAACAGAATTTTATGAGCTGTGATCAAAATGAGTTTTTAAATTGTGTTTACCTAATCTACGCAAATCCGTTGAAAATATCCTGATTTGTGTTCTGTTCTCTTTATTATTATCATCAGGAAGTTAATGGAGCTTATAACTTTTGGGATTTAAGTGATAGTGAAATACGCTTATTGGATCGAAGATCCCAAATGGATACATCAAGAAAATATTGGCCACACTACTTTAGTTCAGATTATTTGTATCCAGGTGAAACAAATTTTGAACCAACAAATTGGGATTGGTTACGTTTAAATGCACTTGGTCCTGGTTGGGAAGAAGTATTGAAAGATGTACCAGTTACGCGTAGAGAAGCATTAAATTTACTTGGTAAAAATATTATATATATATATCTTTTATTCTGTGTATCTTTGATGTTGTAATGTTTTAAAGGTGGTATCTTAATGACCCAGTCAGGACTGGAGAAAGGTGCTTGTAAGCAACCGAAGACTGTCGGACAGAAATCGCGGGTAGTTAAAGCATGGATCTGTTAAGCAGTACTATCTCACAATAGTTTCATTATGGGTAAAATTTATTTTGATAAAGTCTCACACAGTGTAGTGTTGTACAGTTATATTTAATGATACCGACGTTTCGAGCACCCCAATTTATTACTGCAGCTCATAATCATATCAAGGCACTACTCATACAACTTTCTAACTTCGTTTATATAATCCCATTATTTTCCATAGCTAGATTTGATTGGTAGTATTATTTTCCATATTTCTGGTATGAATGATGAGTCATGCCTATTGCATGTGTTGGGTGTAGATTATTCAATGAACAAGCATTCAATGCAATGTAGTGCTGAGCTTTTTTCTAAATTACTTATCTTCGCGGGGTCAGCCATTCTTATCTTAGCTAAATTCTTGTGTTCCGACAATCTGACTAGCCCTAATCTACTAAATAGATCTAATAGATACTTAGACTTTAATTCATCTTATCCGTCATCTGTAAAGACAGGCATAGTTTAATGTCTTGCAAAGTGAGAAATAACACTAAGTACTACAAAAAATACCTAAATGACGAAATAAAACAGATAGAAGAGGCGTTTGTATCAAATAACTATCCTATATAATTCATTAGGAAGATCAGAAAAGACCAAAAGTAAAATAAAAAATAATGGTAAGACTAATAATGATAACATAAATAAGACAGGGTATAAGGCATCTACAGGAGTTTAACCATATAAGGAGGGGACATCTGAAACCCTACATAAGATTCTTAATAAAGCAGGAATCAGGGTGTCATTCAAACCTACGAACTCACTCAGAGACAAGCTCTGCAGGTGGGTTGAATGACCCTGCAGGTTGACCTAATTAGACAAAATAATATAATTTAGGAAATACCTTGCAATGACTGTGGGTCAACTAAATAGTTCAAACTAGTATGTCGGCAGTAGTCAGATTGTCGGAACATAAGAATTTAGCTAAGGTTAGAATAGTTGACCCCGAGAATATAATTTAGAAAAAAGCTCAGCGATTGCACTGAATGCATTAACATACAACCACACAATAGGGTGGGACAGAGTTAAAGTTCTAAAAAGTAATATAAGTAGGTGAAGAGCGAGAGAGGTTGATTACTGAATACTTGTTCATCGAATAATCTACAACCAACATGTTCAATAGGAATGACTCATCACTCATACCACTGGAAATATGGAAAATACTACTACCAATCAAATCAATCGATGAAAAGTAATGGAATTATATAAACGAAGTTAGAAATTTGTGTGAATAGTGTCTTGATATGATTATGAGCTGCAGTAATAGATTGGGGTGCTGGAAACGTCGGTATCATTAAATATTACTGTATAACATTCTGTGAGACTTTGTCAAAACAAAACCCATAATAGAATTATACTCCACCACAGTGCACAAGTTTTATTCTTATATCTCACGATAGCCGGTCAATGCATGAATTCCACCTTCTGCCAATTCTTGACATAGTGCGATCACTTCGCAATGTCTTCTTAGATGAGGTACTGCCTCACCTTCAACCTGCTGTTCCCTTACTGGTCACTGTTTCCTACTAGAACCGTAGGTTAACTGCCTGAATAGGGCCAGTCGCTAGTGAGCATCAGATCAATTTTCAAGTATTGGTTTTGTAGGGATTTTGTTTGATTGGTTGGAGGATTTCATCATGAGCTGATATCATTTAGAGAACCTACGGAAAACCTGATAGTACTGGACAGCTTTTTCGTTCTGGTTTGGGATAACATAAAATTTCAGTTATCTGATAGTGTGTCATATCCCCGAAAATACCCATTGAGTCATGAAGAAAATAAAAGACAAATTTAGCCAGAGAGGAAAATTTTCTTTATCGACCAAACCATCTTCACAGGCTGCCATACAGCCGTATTTATATTTACCGAAAATGCATTGTAGTCCATTACTGAGTAAAAGAGTGAGTGATATAACTGACATAATTAATTAGAAATGGCTTTAAAGTGAAAATAAAAGTTGTAAATCACGTAATACTCAACGGTACAAAGGAAGAAAGCGTTAAAAGTTTGATAAGGTTAAAATAATTATTGATTGAGAAGAAAGACGGTAGTTAGGCGTCCATTTAACAAGTGTGAACAAGATTGCAAAACGTCCATAAGGAACATGTAAGTGTGACAGTAATGAATTAATTATTAAAGTAAAAGCAAACTAAAAATAAAAAATTCACAAGGAAAGACTAATGGTGAGGTTAAGACCATGGTAGAATAAGAAACTGGACAAACATTTTCTGTATACGAAGTTCCATGTTTTAATGCTAAATTGCCAGCACCTCCACTATACACAAATGCCAAAATCTAACACCCTTTGTACCATTTAGCCTCACCTTATAGGTAATCTTGAAAGGCGACTCATCCCTTGATACGATCAGCATAGCTTCGCCTCATTATAACTCGGTATTGTAACTTATAACTTATTTGCCACTGAAATGGAGAAGTTACCTTACAGTATTTTTTTAAACCGTAGATTGCCATTATGTAATGAAACATTTGATGGGACACTATTAACTTGTGTAATGTTTCTAGTCCTATCTTCGTGCACACTGAATTGATGATATTAGACGGTTGGAGGCAATCGGCCACAGGAAACCTTATCCGCCCCAGCTTTCGTACTAACTGGCACTCATGAGCCAGCAGTGCATATCTGTAACCACCATAAAGGAACTCATGTACCATCTTAGATGTAAACCGGCATCACTCAGTGCTGCAGCCAGTCAGAGACATCACCACTGAGTTATTCGGCCTGGCGATTGGCTTCTTGTAGGGCTGACTGTATTGGAAACTTTGATTGGACACTAGTAACTAGTTTGATATGTCTGGTCTTTTCTATGGTGCACATTGAATTCGCTCAGTCAGGTTTGCCGACACGTACCAACTAGCAGGAAACCTAAGTCAGACTGGGCTCCCTGCCGATTGACTCCAACCATGGAACATTTACACGTGTCCCTAGACACTTGTAACAAATACTGTCCAATAAAACAAAGACTCAATCAGTTCATGAGAACTAATCTTTTTTTCCTACTAATCACAAATTTATTAATAAATCAATTCGCTTATGAAATTTATTTTTGAACACTTGTTTTCTTGAAAAAAAACTGCTTCAAGTTATCATGAAAAGGAAGCTACTTCGAGCAGCAGGTAAACTGACCTATTACAAAGAACGTGTCACAGTTCTACAAGATCAGCTGATTCATCAGAAAAAAAATGAAGAAAAATTGATCCGAGTAAGAAGAGTTAATCATTTGTTGATTTTGTTTATCTTGATCAGTGGTTTGAACTACATTTCCTCTCAACTTTATGTACAACAGGATCTGCTAGGTCTCAGGTTGACATGTCGACTCACTCTTATACAGATACTTCGACAATGTTTGGTCATGTGACTTGAAGTCAGTTGGTGGATGGTGATTGACCAGTAGTAGAATCCAAAAGGATAAAGCACATTTCGTCCTACTTGGGACTGGCTCGTCAGCCAGTGGATGTACTTGTATTCCTCAGTGAGTTAGTGATGGTGGTCACATGTCAACCTGAGATTGAGCATTTTGGTCCAATCGATCGACGGGAAAATCTAAGATTAAATTAAATAATTAATAGGACCCTTACCACAAGGGGTGCGGTGGCTCCCGTATCCCAAGTGGTCTAGTGGATAACGCTTAGTCGTTTGAAATTGTGGGCACTGGGTTCGAGCGTCTGTGGAGGGAACATCATCACTGACTCACTTGGGAATGGAGGTACAACCAGCTGACGAGCCGGTCCCAAATAGAACGAAATGCGCTTTATCCTGGATTCCAGTGCTAGTCACCACCCATCAACTGATGCAGGTCTTTTGCTTTGTAAACGGTGATTGTCATTTTCAAGGGTTACTTTGTGGGGATTCTATTTGTTTACCAAGTTTGATCATGGACTGGTATCAGTTAGAGAACCACTCTGAAAACCAGTGTGTACTGGATAGCTGTTTCTTCAGCCTAGTTTGGGCCTAATTGGCAGTATGCACCTGTAGGGCACTAGGACTGCGACCACTTTCCTGCCAGAATTAGTTTTCATAAATGGTTAGACACAGTTCTCCGGATAACATTGCACTACATTCTTGAAATATTTCTGAGCACCTATATAGTGAAAAAATGATATTGAAACAAAGAAATAAATATTAATTAATAAAGTAAGATTTAGTGGATTCATCAAATTTTGATGGAACATGCCTGCTGAATACTTTACACACAATGTAATATTTGAATAAAACAAGAACAACAGTGGTTTGTTTAGAATACTATGGTACCATCAATGTTTATTTCGTTGGCTTTTCATCAGCTGCTTACAGCCTAAATAAATTATGAGGTTTATGTGCAGAAAAGTTTTAACATACATACAAATTTTGCATGATTACGCTTATATAGTTTTTGCACAGGGAGTTCAGTTTTGAACAAAGTAAATGTATGCATACAATGGGAAAGGAGTTACGTGATAAAGACGTGAGGTGAGTAAGATAACAATTTACTGAGCTCAACTCGAATCATAGAAACAAGAGACAAGCAAAATTACACTATGTCAAAGGGGTGAGGTTAAAGCCAAAGATTACGTAATCAAATGAAAGAAAGAATAAAAACATCCAGTTAACAGGGCAAGGAAAGACTAATAACTGCTTCTTTGTGAACACATAAATCTGCTTTCAAGCGTTTGATAAGAATTGCTTCAGTAAACTTGAGGAGAATCTAGCTCTTTTTGTCCGTTGATAATTTTAAATGATTCCGCGACTTCCACCTCATCACTCTTATAGCGGAGATGTCTGGTAATAGCGCTATTATAAGAGTTTGTTCCATTGAGACGTAGGCTTTTCGGCACATGTTCAGAAAATCGAAGATGTGGCCTTCTTTCTGTTCTGTAATATGTATATATTCGGCGAATCACAAATGGAAATATATGACTGATAAGCAGGTTATACTATTTTGATTGGACACTGGATAGTAACTAGTATAATGTGTCTAGTCTTCCTATCTTTGGTGCAGACTGAACTCTATCAGTCAAGTTTTCAATGTGGCCACCATGCCACTAGATGACTCGCCATCACGGTGCTCTGTGAATTGTTGGTATTAGAAGGTTGGAGGGAATCGGCAACAGGAAGCACAGCCTGATCTAGTTTTCGTGTTAGTTGGTACTCACCAGTCAACATGGTGTATCTCCAACCACCTTGATGGAATTCTTGTCCGTTCTGAAATGCAAATGCGCGCCACCCTGTACATTGTAAATTCGACGGATAGGATTCAGTCTTCACCAAACAAAGGACTACACATATCACACTAGTTACTGACTCGTGTCAAATCAAAGGTATCTTTCAAGACGGTCGCAGATACACCTTACTGAGTGTTGAGTGCCAAATTGCACGAAACCTGGATCAAGTGAGGCTTCCTACAGCCGACTGCCTCCAACCGTCTAATACAGATTATATTAAAAAGACATAGGTCAGAACAATATAATCTTTTCATAACTTCACTTGAAAGCTGATCTAGAAAGCCAGAGAAATGACCATGAATGTCATGTCGTGTCACATAATCTAAAACCACTAAGTGATAATTAACGCTCAGAAGTGGTCATCATTATTTTTACGAGTTGATCACGGATCGATATCAGTTAAAGAACCAGTTGATTCATCCTAGTTTGGGAATCATCAGCAGTACGCACCCACCCCACTGTCAGGGTTCAAATCCAGGACCTTCTGGTTACAAGGCAAGCTAGCTTGTACACCATTCAGCCACCAACCAATGTCGTCGGTGAGACATCTATCCTCACACTTGAATGGATGGACCTCACTGGTCATGAATTCTCACAAATTGGTAGAAGTTAGAATACATGAGCTGGCCATTGAATTGGTATACAAGCTAGCTTGCCTTGTAACCAGAAAGTCCTGGGATCGAACCCTGACAGTGGAGTGGGTGTGTACTGCAAATGATTCCCAAACTGGGCTGATGAAGCAACTCTCCAGTACTCCCTGCTTTTCGATAGTTCTCTAACTGATATCAGTCCTCTATGATCAACTCTTAAAAACAAAACTAATCCCCACAAACCATCTAAAAAAAGTTATCACACACTAAATTATTGTACTGACTAAAAGAAGGAGAATTTTAAGGCGAAAAGGAAAACCCTAAAATGTGTGTACGGAAGCAGTTTGTCCATGGAACTAAAGTTTTCCTTTTTCTAACCCAGTAATCGCCGTACGATCTATGCATTTGTCTCTACAAATCCACTAAAGCTGACATATATGTGTAGTAGTGTCGTAGACTGTCATCTGATCTGCCATCAAAACTGTTACAGTACCCTCTTGGCAGTGTTGTGGATAAAAAACGTTTCTGCACAATAGACTCCTGTTATAGCTTTGTCATGCCTTCATCCGGTACATCGTCGCTTTTAACACTGATAGACTGAAGTATACAGGCTATTGTGAAGCTATTAGGACAGTCTTGATTGACACGTGTACCTTCAGAACACCTTAGTTGAAAATCTTTTCATGTCTGTATTTCGTTTTCAACTGTACTATCAAAACAGAATTTTCGCGCTCTATTGAATGCTATGCTGACTAAGTCCTTTTTATATTGAGTGAGAACAAATGTTTTAAAGTGTATGTACTGTCCCTTCTATGAAGGATTTCTAAATGTTAATCATTTTACAACACCGCTAACTCTTTTCACTAGAGACACATCTGGTGATTAGTTGTTTTCTTGCTGAAGGTTATTCTGTAGTGTTTGTGACCGTTTCTTAGAAAGTTAAGCCATATATCTGTGAATCGTATTTGCAGACGTTAAGTCTACTGTGATTGGTTGTTGAGTTCCTCAAGGTCATTGCTTGTTATTGATTTTTCTCATGACTTTTTCTCATATATTCGAGACGTAAACATTGACGTAAATTGCTGTCTACAATTTTGGCTTACAGACAGCTCTCACCACAATAGTACCTTTTACTTCATGCTTTAGTGTAAACGTAAGATAACCACGACTTGAACTAAGTTTCGTTAAAATGTCACCAACACATCTTAGACGGGATTTTGTCCGTTGTTTATACTATACTGGAGTGTCCACTTCCAGACTGAATAAGAGTGATTCTATGGAAACATGGGTCCCGGGAGGCTTCCTACTGTAATGTCAACAACTTAACACAACAGCTAGCCACTGTATCAGACTGAATATCCATAGGACATAATAGTAACGACTCCTTTGAGTGTATTGTTGAAACAGAAACCAGTGGGGAAGTAACATGAAACGATACATGATGCTAACCGATTGTACTGGAGTCAGAAATATTACTGACACACTGAAAGGAATTGGAGGCAGTGTGGGGTGTTGAAGAGACGGTGAATGAGTAATTACGGATAGCGTTCAAGTTGTTCGTCATGGTTTTCTCCTAAAGTAGGATTTTGTGGTTATCATGTTTGCAGCTGTAGGTGAGTACAATGACTTACAGAGTATCAAAATGCTCTTCAAGTCCATGTTTGCTTAATTCATCACTATTAATTAAACACAATAACGTATCTATTTCCTAATGACTGGATGTGATTTGGGCTATGCTACACTTACTTCAAAGACATTTAATCGTCTAACCATCACCCCTGTGAAACTGCAGATTTATTGATTATGCTTTCATATATCCTCTTTAGCTTCAAGCTGAATATAAAACACAGTCTCTGGATCTTGAGAAAGCTCAAGAACAAGCTTCAAGAGTACCATTACTGGAGAAAACAGTGAAACAACAAGAAGATTTAATTTGTCGATTGGAAACATTTTTAGATCGTCAAAGAAGTGAGTCATTGGAATTATTTTCCCGTTACAAGTTAAAACAAATAGTCCCTTTGATAAATTTGAATAAGGCATTTAGAAATTAAATTTTGTGAGATGATATGGCCATTTCGTAGTTTCTTTACAACCGCTTTACGCAACTAACATGGTTAACAATAATAAAATAAAGTTCAGGACAATTACTCAGTTAAATAAAAAACAAAAGTACATACTAATGACCAATCATATTTAGATAGGTCATGTTGCCCATGGTAGGCGAAGATTGAAGTCTATTGTTTTTTGTACACACAGTTTAGTCTGTACGTGATTAATCCCCAAAAGTGCCTCCATCACCTTTAAAGTTATTGAAGGTGAGTTCTGTGAAATAATTGTGAAACAGTCATTAATATTGATTTTGTGACCTGACATTAACAAGTGTTTTGCAATGGATGATGCTGGATTTATATTCATATTAATTGCACTGGCATTTTCTATGTCTTAATAACCATTTTGAAACATGTTCTTTTTGACGACATTGGAAAATTCTATTGGTTCTACCTATATAGGTGTCACCGCAACTACAGGTGAACTTGTAGATACAGTTTTCAAGTAGAGTTCACACAATTTCGTCCTTTAATCGTGTAGGTACAGGGATCGAAAATGTTCGGCAAGTTAGGAAAAGAGATGTGGTGTAGAATGTCCGTTTGATAGCTGACCGAGGGTGACCAGATTATGCAGTTGACAGCTCATAAACTTTGGTAAAATCAAAGTAATCAGAAGAAATGAACACCGTAGAGCCACCTCTGTTCGATCACGAAAATTTCAGTTGAACTAGAAGAGCTTGACAAACCGTCAGCCATAGCTTGTCTACACGCTATAGAATCAGGTCAAAAAATTGACTTTGACAATATTGAAATAATCCAGAAAAAGCATTTCGGAAATCACAAAGAACGTCTAATATCATCAGAAGCGCTTCCTAGCATATGGTATCCAAATTGTCTGAACTGAATATGAAGGATGGAGTAAAACAGAATTTGACCTGCTTGCGAAACCCTCACCGGTACCTTATGAAATGACGAAATCAACACAAATGTGATAAGCAATTTCGCTATGTAAAAACACGATGCTTTTATAATTTTGTACACTCATCAAATCCAGCAATCTACACCTGGTTTTGTTTTCTTTACCAATTGACCGATTTGACAACGCAAAAATGCCTCCATGTTGATGAAATATGATTAAGTTTGTTATATATAAGCTAAGTGGATTTTTTCAATTCTGGTTTAATATTACTACTTTGATAAAGCCTTTAGTAGCAGCATTAAGTAGAGAAACGTCAGTAAAACACAACAATATCGTTTTGTTTTTCATTCACCCTGAAATACAAGCCATTCTTTATTATAATGAATATCATGAAAACAATCCCTTATCATCAAATATCGACGATCTCCATCTGTACAAGAGATACATCGATAATACTTTCATTATTTATGATGAGAATTGTGATCTAAAAAATCTACTTCAAATCTTCAATGACGCTCACCCAAACATCGACTTTACATTTGAGTCTGAATCCGACGGAATGTTCCACTTCCTCGACGTCCAGCTGACAAGAAACGCCAATAACTCTCTGAGAACGTTCATATACAAAACGCCTACATGGAATGAACAATTCATCAACTTTCAAAGCTTCGTGCCCCTAAGCAGAAAGAGGATCCTGATATTCGCTCTTTCCTCGAGGATTCGGAAGATATGCAGCGAGGAAGTGATTGACGGAGAACTGCGTAATCTCCGAAGAACACTGATGGAAAACGGTTTTGCATTCTGGTTCATAGACAAGAATCTCAAATCAAAGAAGACTTCTGAATAAGTCCTATCCGTCCAAAAAATACTGTGACATTGAAGCAGAAATCCTTCATAAACGCCCCTCCAAATCTCTGAGGAAAACATACTTCGCAAAGAGCCTATAACTGACGTTCTCCTGCAAAAAACTGTTCAGCCAGAACGCGAAAGACAAGCTGTCGCACTGGGCCACTTCGACGTGCATATACCAGTTTACTTGCTCTTGCGACGCTGAGTACACCATGCGCCGACTTGAAAAACACACTCGTGAACACTATCTAGTCTGGTTAGTAAAAGTAGAATGAAAACGCGTATATAGTTCAGTGACAGAACATCTGGTCAATTCAGGACATCAGCGCCATTCAAAAAACCTATCAAAGGGGGTGAAATTAAGACATCTGGGCATAGCCGAAGCACTAGCTAACCAAAAGCTCAAACCCACACTATGTATCCAAAAGAAGTACGTCCAACCCTTGTCCCTGCCATGATCATCATAAACAGGTAATTCTCTTAGTAATAACCATCCCATTGCTCTTCTTATCCAAACTTCCTGTTTATTCATGCTATTCTTAAGTTTTTCTTAATCCCTATTTACACTACCATATTTTCATATCCGAACTTCCTGCCTATTTTTTGTCATTTTATTATTTCGACATATTTAATCCCTGATTGCATAAGCAATTATTCGTCACATTAGTTATGATCCCACTAGATTTTTTATCCAAACTTCTTGTCTGTTTTTGTTATTTCTACATTTCTAAGCCCCGATCGCACAACATGCCCATCTTCCCAGTAATTATGATACTACTTTGTTTGAGTTTTATCCGTCCCCCTGTTTATTATGGCATTTTAATTCCTAATTGTAATTTTATTAATTTGACCCTTGGCCGGAAATTATTCTAAAACTTTCCCATCCATTTATTATAAATACAAGAATGTACAGCCTAGTTGGTGGTGACTTCGTTGAAAAGAGAATTTTCTCTGCTGAAACCGTCTTTTTAATAATTCCTATGGTCCAATGTGTATATTCCGTGAATATCATATACCCAGTGCCCAAATTTTTTTTTCAAACTGTTACAAGTGAACTTAATTTGGACATATATAACCAAGTAGATCATTTTTATATGCATTTTTATATAATTACAACAACGGCACATGTCATGTGATCCACAACGGAAAACTCAGCGAGGCGTTTGGAGTAAACACAGGAGTCAGACAAGGGTGTTTATTATCACCAATGATATTCCTAACTGTGGTGGACGGACTGGATTATGCGTCAGACAGTGGGAAACGAGAAGACAGGGATATCCTTGACCAACGTGAAGAATCTAGAAGACCTGGATTTCGCGGATGATTTATGTTTGATGTCACACAAAATCGAAGACTTACAAGCCAATACCGACAAACTGGTCGAAGAAGCAGCAAGGACAGGACTCCAGGTGAACATAGACAAGACGGAGGTTATGAAAATAACCAACCAACTAAGAACAACAACAACATCAGCAACATCCACCGCCAATCACCATCAACGGGTGGGATTTGAAAGAGGTTACTTAATTCACTTATCTAGGGAGCATTGTCTCAACCACAGGAGGAACGGACGAACACGTCAAATCGAGAATCCGAAAGGTGAGAAACACATTCATCAACCTGAAACCAATCTGGAAATCTTCGTCACTCAGCATCAACAACAAAGTGATTCGGATTTTCAATACAAACGTCAAGTCAGTCAGTTCTTCTATACGGATCAGAAACTTGGCGGGTCACAAAGAATATTTTCAACAGCCTATTGCAGACCTTTATCAACATCTGTCTTCGATCTATACTAAAGATCAGATGGTCGCCGGAAGGAATCACCAACAAGAAACTATGGGAAGCAACGAAACAAGAACCAATCGCCCAACAAATATGCAGGAGAAAGTGGAGATGGATTGGACACTCGCTGAGGAGGCCGCTGGGTGACATCGCGCGTCAGGCCATAGGTCGAGTGGAACCTGAAAGGGAAGCGGCGAGTGTGACATGCAAGGGTAGCATGGAGGAGATCGTGTGAAGAGGAGTTGAAACAGCATGGACTAACATGGATGCAAGTGAAAAGTACAGCAGAAGAGAGAAGGATGTGGAGGCGTGCAGTTGAAGCCCTATGTTCCACTAGGAACCCAAGGGAACAATGATAATAATAATTCTTAAATATGACTAAACCAGACAGAGAGACGTGGACTTTAGAATCTTCATTTATGCAATACACTGTCTGATCGACTGATATGTGAGCGACAAAAAAATTTATTTCAGAGACAGACGGTATTTGGCACCAGGAAAAAGTCAGGACTATTAAATCAAATGTAACTTTCATACCCAGTGTAATTATTGCCTCTATTTATGGAATACCTATGAGATGTGTATAGATTAGTTTCTATATTTCTACTTCTCGTTACTTAGACAACGGAAACAGCTTGATTTCTCAGGGATGTTCTTTTCTTGACTTAACAGCAAAAATCATGTACACATTTGAAATAGGCAATCCAGATTAAGGCGCCATGGAAAAAATACTTTTTAAAATATTTCCTTCTCTAAACTTAAACTTTAATTAACTAGAAAAATGTTTAAATTCAGTGAAGGAAATTTTCTTTATCGAGAAAAAATCTTCTTCAGAGATTGTATGTACAGTCGTATTTATAATTACTAAAAATGTATAGTAGTCTATTATTGAGTAATACGGGGGGTTACATAATTGATATAATTACTCAGAAGTGGCTTTAGAAGTAAAAAGTAAAAGTTGTAAATTTCGTGGTACAAAGTTAGAAATTTGATAAGGTTAAAATTATCATCGAGTGAGAAGAAAGGCGATAGTTAAAAATCAATTTAACAAGTCTGAAGAGGCTGAGAAAACGTACAAAAGGAACATATGAGAGTGATAATAGTGAATTAATTATTAAAGTTAAAGCAAACTAAAAGTAAAATTGGAAATTAAAAAGATAAAATTTTTTTTTACAGGGAATGACTAGTGAAGAGGTTAAGACCAAGGTAAGATAAGAGACTGAATAAACTCGTTCTGGATACAGATTTCGGGGTTGTATTGACGAATTGTCAACGCCTCCGCCATACACAAATGCTGGAACCTGACGCCCTTTGTACCATTTGGTCTCACTTTGTAGATAATCTTGAAAGACGACTGTGGTGGAGCTGTCTGGCTTCAGTTCACCAAATGCCCAAGAATTGAGCCAGTAGCTAACTGCCTTGCATTGTCCTTTTGCTAACCATGCCGGATAATATTCAGAGATGCATTTGGAAAGTGGGCGCTTTGTGCGGGCGGCCAATATAACTAACTCCACACGAGCAGGTGGCCCAAATTGGCAGCAGTTTATCCTTCACACATCCATTGATCATTTGTTAGATGTAGAAACTGTCAGTTGTATCACCCCTTGTACCACTCAATAATAAACTACTATACATTTTTGGTGAATATAAATACGACTGTACATACAATCTCTGAAGATGATTTCTTCGATAAAGAATATTTTCTTCGCTAGTGGAATTTGTCTTTTATTTTCTTTATGACTCAATGGGTATTTTCAGTGATGATATGTATATGACTTTACCGTTCAAAGAAGACTCAGCCACTGAGTTACTGGCATCGAAACTCCAAAAAACAGTAGCTAAAACATTCTTTGCTGCAACGCTGTGTTTAAAACTCGTCACTCGTTGTATAACTCCAATGCGGGTGAAGGATAAGCTTCTAAATCTGGCCACTTCAATATGCATTTGTAAATTTACCTGTCCCTGTGGCGACAGATACGTAGATAGAATGACTCAGCAATCCCGCTATGGCCTTCTTCTGTAATATCAAACATGGTTAAGTAAAGGAATCGGAAAGTCAGTCAGGCGTTCCATATTGGCACAACTCCTTGTGAATACAAATCACAAGACTGATAAATATTTAAACTTTAAAAGTCTATACAAGGTAGCACACCTCAATTCCTTTGGTTTGTACGCCTTCGACTGCTAAAAAAGCTGGGGCAATTGACATAAAACAAATTCTGCTCAGTATGTGTGTGTGTTCAGAAGAAGTTTGTCTAATCCCTCCCCCTCATATAAGATTCATTTCCAACCTAAAATAGTTATGTATCCTGGTGAAACCGGATAACTGTACCAATAACTTTATTATCATTCCGATACTGTGCTACACTTGTATATTTGAATCTTAGTTTCCCGCTTTGTTTTTATGATTCTACTGACATTCTACTTGATTAGATTTGATCCTGTTGATCCACATTGTTTCAAGTGTCTGTGACTAATATTTTATGATGTAATTGTAAATCCTGATGAGGATTAACTGAAACTACGTATCTGATTGCGTAAATCCTGTTCTATAATGATCAGTTTACTCCTGGAAATCAACAGCATTGGAGTTAAAACCATTTTCACATAATGTTCAGAATAGTAATGAGATGTTTTTGTCGCCCCCGCCAATGCATTTGCTCACTACGATAGATAGAATTCAGACTGCACTAAACAAAGGACTAGACTCACTACACTAGTTAGTGACTAGTGTCCAATCAAAAATATTCAGTACAGTCAGTCCTACAGGAGGTCAATTGGGAGCCTGAATAGCCTTCACTGGTAAAGTCTCTGACTGGGTGATGCGGGTTTGAATCCCAGAAGCAACATGCTGACTGGTGAGTGCCAGTCAGCTGGCACGAAACTGAGACAGTGTCTAAGGCTTTCTGTGACCGATTGCTTCAAACCATCTAATACCACCAATTCACAGTACGCCGTGATGGCAAGCCACCTAGTTGCATGGTAGCCACAGTGCAAACTTGACTGCTAGAATTCAGTCTCCACCAAATATAAGAGGACCAGAAACACATTACACTAGTTACTAACAAGTGTCCAATCAAGATGTTTTGGACCATTTTAGACAATACAGATAGGGATAATAACAGAAACCGTAGTCATATTTTAGTTAGTTAATGGTCATGACGGTAATTGTAATCCACCAATAGTTTACCTAGGAATAAGTAAAACAGGCAGTTTAAATTTCTAAACTAAATATCCCTTGTTTTCCATAATACTCTCTGAAAACCAGCCTTGATTTAGCAGACTGACACTGACGTAATGCGTAGCCAACAATAATGATAGCTGGGTACAATTGTAACGACAGAAGACAAGGGACAGGCAACAGATTGTTTATTGAGAAAATCAAGAGGTATTCATAGATTTATTGGATATTTTCAGTTCTTCATTATAATAAAGGTTTTTGTATTTCCCAATGAATGTAAAACAAAACGATATTGTTGTGTTTTACTGACGTTTAGCTATTTAATGTTAGTAGCTTTATCAAAGTATTATTAAACAGGAATTTACAAAATCCACTCAGCATATATATAACAAAGAGTTATGGGGTGAGAAAATAGACTAAGGTCAAGTTAAAGAGACATATTGAAAGTCAAAATAACAATGAAGATCACTAAACCAAATAACAAAGGTAATAGTACATCTGTTATGATATCAAAATAAAGTTTACTAACTTGATCATCGTTCGTCTGTCTTGGGGCATTTTTCTTTGTAGACGAGCTATGGCTGATGATTTGTCAAGCTTTTCTAGTTCATCAAGTGGATTTCTCGGTGGTCGAACAGATGCTCTACGGCGTTCAATTCTTCTGATTTTAATTTCTCGCGATGTTTGTCGGATGTATATCGCATCACATCACATTCCAGCACTTTATTTTATGGAAACAATTAGATAGAGAATCTTTGGGGATTCGGTCTTTTATATGGACAAGGTTTTCTTGTAATGTGTACGTCTGATGTTTTGAAGAAAACTCTGATGTCGAGCTTATTGAGTACTTTTCTGATGGTCTCTATGGAATGACAACTGTTGAGGTCTATGTCTTTGGAATGCGTATTTTCGACCATATTTAATGTCAGTGATGATTTTGTTCATGAAGTCCCTTGAGTAGTTGTTTTGCTTGAGAGTTTCAGTAATGTTTGATAGAACAATGTTCAAATTCAGCGAAGAAAATTTTCTTCATCGACAAAATCATCTTCAGAGGTTGTACGTACGTCCTGTTTATATTTACCAAAAATATATACTAGTCTATTATTGAGTATTGGGGGTGACATAATTGACAATTTATACAGCCAACAAATGATCGATAGATGTGTGAAGGATAAACTGCCGCCACTTTGGGCCATATCAGTGTGTGTTTATAAATTCACCTGCTGCTCGTATGGAGCTAGTTAGATTGGCCACCCGCACAAAGCGCATACTTTCCAAACGCATCTCTGAACATTATCCGGCATGGTTAGCAAAAGGACATTGCCAGGCAGTTACTAGCTCAATTCTCAAGCACTTTATGAATTCAGGCCACGTAGCTCCACCAGAGTTGTCTTTCAAGACCATCTACAAGATGAGGTCAAATGGTACAAAAGGCGTCAGGTTCCAGCGGTTGTGTATGGCGGAGGCCCTGACAATTCGTCAATACAACCCTGAACTCTGGATACAGAAATAATTTGTCCAGTCTCGAATTCTACCATCGTCTTAACCTCCTCATTACTTTTAATGATTAGTTTGCTTTCACATTAATAATTAATTCACTATTATCAGTCTCACATGTTCCTTTTGTACGTTTTCTCACCCTCTTCACACCTGTTAAACTGACACTCAACTATTTTTATTCTCACTCAGTAGCAATTTTAACCTTATCGAATTTCTAACAATGTTTCGTTGAGTACCACGTAATTTATAACTTTTAGTTTTTGCAGGATTTCATCATGAGCTGACATTGGTTAGAGAACCATTCGAAGACCAGCTGGGAGTACTGGACAGCTGTTTCGTCAGCCTAGTTTGGGAATCATAGGCAGTACGCATCCACTGGGGTTCGAACCCAGGACCTTCTGGTTACAAGGCAAGCCAGCTTGTATATCATTCAGCCAATGGAACCTGACTCAATCGCCAGCTCATGAATTTTAACTTCGACCAACTCGTGATTTAGCGCGACTGGCACCAACCATTGTAGTAGGTGGGACATCCATCCTCACATGTGACATCTGGATGGACCTCACTGGTCACGACTTCTCACTTGACGTAACTCTAGGGAACTCCATCCTGTAGCAAGTCACTCAGTGATTTGAGTGTTTAAATTATTGAAAATTTTCAGCCTTTGGTTTTTTCATCTGTGGTTTCTTTGCCTTTCTAAACAGAACATGTGGTGAATGCTAACTTGTCCAATTATACATGTCCAATTATGAATCCATTAGACAATGAAGTTTTAGAGCCTATAGGGAATCATAAACCAATTGACAATTCACTTATACCTTCACAAAACGATGAATTGTCTACATCAACAGCGTTAAGAAATCTCTCTAGTGAAAATGATGCATTACGTCGAACTGTAGCTGAATTGAATCGAACTGTACGTAACTTGGCTAGACAACAACAAGACAGTCATGATTATCAACAAAGTATTGAACAAAGATATCGTGAAGAGATTGACGCATTGAAAGAACAACAAAATCGTTTACTGGAGGAAACATTACACAAGAATAGACGATTGGAACATATGGTAAGTGGATTGCTCTGATGGAATGGAATGCTGAGTTCGAGAGAGTTTTTGGAATACTTGTGTGTGTTTATGTGTGTGTGTATAAAAAAAGGACTTTTGCAGTGTGGTGGAGCATAATTCTACTGTGGAGAAATTGACTTTGATAAAGACTTTCAGTGGTATACAGTAATATTTATTGATGATCATGTTTGGAGAACAGTTCATTTCCACTCATAATCATATCAAAGCACTACTCACACAACTTTCCCCTGTTCTTCGTCTCATGATTTGATTGGTGGTAATATTTTGCATATTTCTGGTATTAGTGATGAGTCATTCCTGCTGCAGGAGTTGGGTGTAGATTCTATGAACAAGGATTCAGTAATCAACCTCTGTCTCTCTCCATCTACCTATATTATTTCTTAGAATTTTAACCCTCTCCCATCCTACTGTGTGCTTTTGTGTGAATGCATGCAATGTAATTACTGAGCTTTTTTCTAAATTACTCATCTGTCTCCATGGGATCAATCATTTCTAACTTTAGCCACTAAATTCTTATGTTCTGAAAATCTGACTACCCCAGACCTACTAGTTTGACCTATATAGTTGACCTTACTCAGAGTCAGTGCAAAGTATTTTGTAAATTGTATTATTTTGTCTAATTGGGTCAACCGACAGGGTCCTTTGACCTACAGAACTTGTCCTACATGAGTGACTTTGTAGGTTTGAATGCCACTCTAATTCCTGATATATTAGGAATCCTACATAGGGTGGGTCTCAGATGTCCCTTCCTTATATTCTTTCCTGATTAGGTTACCATTATTAGTTTCACGATTATTTTTACTTTGCTTTTGACCTTTTTTTGATATTCCTAATCAATTTTATAGGATAGTTAGTTATTTAACACCAACGCCGCTTCTACTGTCTGTTACACTTCATTTTTTGGGTTTTTTGATATACTAATTAGTGCTATTTCTTAGTTTGTCAGACACTTAACTAAGTCTGCCTCAACAGTTAATAGATGAGACGAATTAAAGTCTAAATATCTATTAGAATGCGTTGGTTTTCTATAAACACTAGTGTGTAGTTTGCCTTCTTCTATTCGTTTTATCTTAGAATCTAACATGGTTAATTCTCCTTGTTCATTTTCCGATTCAAATGTGAATTTTATTCCCTATACTAGTGAGTTTATATGTGTCAAGAAGCTAGAGAGAAATATGTTGTGTTTTTAACACTGTGAGTGGAAGTGTCATCCACATATCTCCACCATATTTTTGGAGTAGAATTAAATGTTGTGTTAAGAGCAATATTTTCCCAGCTTTCCATAAATATATCTGCTACGATAGGGGGTGTTGGCGATCCATCCCGTTGCTACACCTTCTGTTTGTCTATATATTTTACCCTGGAATTTAAAGATAGTACATGTGAGGCATAACTGAATTCCTAAAATAATTTCTTCAATGGGCAGCTTTAGCCTATGAGTGAGTTCATGATACGCAGTTATATCTGTTTTAACTGTTTACAATGCCATATTGACTGGTGTATTATTACAAAGAGTAGTTAAATCACCGATAACCATTGTGTCATTATTCTCTAAATGAGTGTCATTTAGTTGGAGGATTTCATCCTGCTCTGACATCAGTTAGATAACCATTGGAAAACCAGCAGGGAGTACTGGACAGCCACATGTTTCTCCCTAGTTTAGGACTCTTCAGAAGTGCGCACTCACGTCACAAAGAGGGTCCGAACCCAGGACATTGACCGTGAAGCCACTGGGACCCATCAGTCCAATGGATCACCTTGATATGATTATGAGCAATAAATTGCGCTCGAAACGTCATTTGTAAATGGTACTGTACAACACTGTCAGACTGTATTAAAATAAATTTTACCAATAATGGCATTATACTCTACCACAGTGCACAAGTTCTATTCTTATATCAATGATCACAAAGCTTTTGAAAGCAGCTTATTTAAGTATTGGCTTTTAGGGATTTGATTGACTGGTTACAGGATTTCATCATGAGCTGACATCGGTTAGAGAACCACTGGGAAACCGTCACTGGAGTATTGGATAGCCAGATGTTTCGTCAGTCCAGTTTGGGACTCTTCAGCAGTACTCATCCACCCCACTGTCAGGGTTCGATCCTAGGATCTTCTGGTTACAAGGCAAGTTAGCTCGTAATCCATTAAGCCACTCTGACCCGACAGTTCAATGGCCAGCCACTGCATGAATTCTAACTTCTGCCAATTCATGAAAAAGTGCGACCGCTTGTCAATATCTTCGTCACACCCGAGCTGCTGCACTCTACTGATCACGAATTCTTACCGGAATCCAGGTAACTACCTACCTGAATAGGGCCAGTCACCGCTAGTGAGCATCTCATTGATATTCAGTTGAACTGGCAGGAGTTAGAATTCATAGACTAGGCAATGGATCGGGTCACAGTGGCTTAATGGTCTACAAGCTGGCTTGCATTCTAACCAGAAGTTGCCGTATTCGAACCCTGGCAGTGGGGTGGGTGTGTACTGATGAAAAATCCCAGACTAGGCTGAGGAAACAGCTGTTCAGTACCCGCAGGTGGTTTTGCAATGGTTCTCTAACCGATATCAACTCATGATGAAATCCTGTAGCCGAAAAAGCTTATAGTGGCATAAAATCTTATAGAATTTGAGCAATTCCCGGCTTTGCTTTCTACTAAGATCAGCTTTCTATTTGTTTCTGGGCTTTGTACAGGATTTAACTGAGTTTGATACGTCTTAGACATTCAGCTAAAATACTTAATGTAAACGCGATCTAATAATTTATGAACCTCAATTTTCTTCCTTGTATTTTTCTACATTTATAGGAAAACGAGAATTTTCGGACAGCGATTGCAGATAATGAACGATTAGAACTGTACAAAATGTTGGATAATTCTGAGTTAAGAATTAAAGCATTAGAAGAAGAAGTGGGTTAAATATAAAAACCATCTTGTTTTAATTGTTTATTTATCCTCACTGACTGACTGATTTCAACAAAGAACTTGCCATATTCCATGTAGCCTACAAACGGACATAAAAAGAGAAAAACAAGAACTTCGAAAGATCGATAGTAAGCAGAAATGTGAGGGAGAAGCAAGAGTAGCATGGAAACATGATAGAGATTAATAGTAGATCACAAAAGGTGATTGTATTTGCACTATTGAGAAGGATTTTGAGCCATTTCCCCAATTGTCTCCAGCCTTCATTGGTTCTTTGAATCCCGATGACCCCAACCAGGAAGACCGCACCACTCTATATGGCTCATGCTGACTGCTCAAGATTTCACAGACTGATTCTAAGTTTTGGTTTGATCACCACTAGCTCTTCTTACCCAACCTGATTCTATGTCAGTCAGCAAGCATTGCTTGGAGGCAATCGGCTACAGGAAGCCTTGAACCTAGGTTTCGTGTTAGTTGGTACTCACCACTGAGAAAGTCGTATCTGCAACTGACTAGAAGGAACTCGTGTCCCTTCTGAGATTCGAACCTGAAAAAAAGAAAGGAATAGACACGTCACACTAGTTACTAATGTCCAATCAAAGTATCCAATACACTCCTACAGGAGATCGATCGCGGTCCCGAATAGCTCAATGATAACGCCTCTGACTGCAGCACTGGGAGACGAGGGCTCGGGTTTCAGTTTCAATACGGCTGCGGATACGCCTGTCTTGCTGACTTGTGAGTGCCGGACAATTAACACGAAATCTAGGTCAACGGCTTGCTGCTGATTGCCTCCAATCACCTAATATCATTAGAAGTTAACTGGTGGATGGTGACTTCAAGTGGAATCTAAGATGCAGATTTCGTCCTTCTTGGGACTCGTCACTGGGACCATCACCTGAACCGAGCAGTTCAGTCCAGTCAGTCAACGGGAAAATATAAAATTGAAATAAATAATCAATATAATCCGTTGCATGAGAGGTAGTCGCTCTTGTGGCCCAAGGGATGTAGTGGATAACACTTTGTCATTTTAAACTATGGGCGCTAGGTCCGAGCCTCGGTGAAGGGAACACCATTACTGGCTAACTGGGTAATGCAGGTACATCTACTGGCTAAGAAGCCAGTCCCAAATAGGATGAAATGCACTCTGTCCTGGATTCCACTGCTAGTCACCATCCATCAGTTAACTTCTAATTACATGCGCAGACATCGTCGAAGCATCTACACAAGTAGTCAACATGTCAACCTGAAACCGACCACTTTGGTCCAATCAATCGACGGGAAAATCTAAAATTGAATTAAATAATCTCAGTTACGCTAGATAATTTTATGATCAGGACTAAATCATTGTGAAGACTAAATGTAGTTTTGAAAAGATCTTTTGGAAAAATACTTGTAGTCGACCACTTCTGAAATCTTGTGACGTAAGGGGTAACTTTATTGCCCATTGAGTTTTGCTTCCAAACAAGCAGTTACTTACGGAGAAGAAATGTCGGGAAGTACTTTAAAAAAGATGTCCCATTGTGGTGAGAGCTGTCTGCTAGCCAAAGTTGGTAGACAGTAATTGATGTCAGTGTTTATGTCCCCGATTTGGTGGTGAGAAAATGAGAACAAAGGCTTTGCGTAGGCGGATACAGTTAGCATATGGATGATCTGACACAACCACAAAGAGATGCAAGGTTAACTTTCTGTGAGAAACAACCAATCAAAAGACTGTATTTTCTACTAACAATAATCTACAATAATGTACATTAAAATCTATAAATATGTGTTGATTTTCCTGAATAAACGATCTGTTGCCTGACTCTTGCCTTCTGTCGTTACACCATCAGTAGCCTATATAAACATTTGGGAAATATTCCGATATTGAGTCATAAGAAAACAACATAAACAGCGAAGAAAATCCTCTTCTCGACGATTCATTTTCATAAGCTGCTGTGCAATCGTATTCATATATTTAAGAAAGTGGACGTCCCCTTCGTCTTCGTATCCACAAACATAAGCTAGCCGTCAAAAGACATGACATCCACTCCCTCATATCAGTACATACAGAGAACTACGGACATCAATTCCACTGGGAAAAATTCCAAATATTAGACAGAGGAAACAACAAAAATGCTAGAGAATTTTTAGAAGCTTGGCATTCCAGTGAATCATCAATCAATAGGCACATTGAGATAGACAAAACTTATCAACCAATAAGAAGGAAACCTCACACACAGAGGGTCAAAGTTCAAGTCAAAGAAACAATCAGTTTCAATACAAGTAGCCTAGAAGATGTGGAAACACACAAAAACAACCAATCACGTCCAAGGTGACCGGGAGAGATGATTAATAAACTCGTGGAGCTCACTTCAAATTGAAGTATGAGCTGAAGTGAGGATGTTGCCTAGTGTTGGGGCGATGAAAGCTTCACAAATTAACTATCCAGCTCAGAGAACATAACCACATCAAAATCATCCACCTGAGCTATAAATCTTCTCTGTCATATTTAAATTTAACAAAGAATTCATAAGACCAATCAGATACTGGTGAAATTTTTCCTTGAAAACGTGTTTCGCAATGTAAGGTGTAGGTCTAGAATGGATGACTAATTGGAAATCAGAAAAAGGGGCAGAAGTTTGGATGACGTAATAATTGTGAGAAAACGACTAATCAGTATGATTGTGTAGAATGGACCGGAACTAGTGGAAAGGCGATAAACTGTTTTCATAAAATCTGTATGAAAATCCGATGTTATTAGTAAACAGTGGTAGAGTGGTAATAAGGTAAAGATGATGAGATTAATAATAATAATCCTACTAATAATAATAGTAAACTTACACGGTGTGACCTACCGTCTTTCTACTAATTCCTCTCCACTCTATGCGATTATATTTTCTCACACTTCTGTCAACTTCTGTCCCCTTTTTTAATTTCCACTTAACCACCCCTTCTAGACTGCACCTTACATTGCGTAATACGTTTTTTAAGTATTGGTTTTGTTGGGATTTTGTTTGATTGACTGGAGGATTTCATCATGAGCTGACATCTGTTACCTGGGATTCTAGAGAAAGCCGTGACCAGCGGGGTACAGAAGATTGTAAAGGTAAGGATAATTACTTATTGAAGAAGACATTGCGAAGTGGTCACGCTATGTCGTGAATTGGCAGAAGTTAGAATCCATGGAGTGGCTAGCCATTGGACTGTCAGGTCCCAGTGGATTAATGGTCTACAAGCTAGCTCGCCTTGTAACCAGAAGGTCTTGGGTTCGAACCCTGGCAATAGGGTGGATGCGTACTGTGAGGAGTCCCAAATTAGGACGAAACGGCTGTCCAGTAGTCGAGTGGTGGTTTTCTGATGGTCCTCAAACTGATGTCAGGTCATGATGAAATCCTCCAACTAATACATTTTTGAAGACAAATTTTATCATTATCTGATTGGTTTTATGAATTCTTTATTAAATATATATTACGACTGTACAGCAGCTTATGAAAATGAATCGTCGAAAAGAGGATTTTCTTCGCTATATACGTTTTTTTCTTATGTTCAAATATTTCGAGAATATTTCGAAATCTACTTTTATTTGCCCAAATGCCAATATAATAATTATAATTCTGTCTGAACCGTGTAATGTTGTACTTGTGCAATACATTTCGAACAATCTGATCACACACAGAATTGTCATAGGAATGTGTATATATGAAATTAATGAGGAGTTAAGAGGTGAGAAATAGAAATAGATTTCGTCAAGTTCAAAGGACATATTGAAGGTCAAAATAACAATGAAGATCAATTACTAAACCAAATAACAGAGGTAATAGTACATATTCCCTGGTCAATATCAAAACAAAGTTTACCAAAGAAGGTTTAATGTGATGACGAATTGCTGCTTCGAACGCATAAAGGTGGTTTATACTTCATAATCGCCAGCTAGAGCTTCCACAAACTTTAGGATACGCCCTACCCCAGACGCATTTTTTAGATAGGCTTAAAAGATGTGTAAGCGTCAATTTTATGTCCTGTCTCCTCTGTAATATGTTTTACAATAGAGGAGCTAGTTCTCCTGTTCTCACCATTGATGGGTTGTGAAGATTCTATTTATTTCTGAATGTACGTGTGGACACACATACATAGGGAAGACTCACCGATCTCTGCCAGTAAGGGACGGCTTCACAGCATATTCCTAAATGGCTGCAGAAGCAAATATAATCTTTAGAACCCACCAGTGGTGAGAACAGACGACTACCTAGCTCCTCTATTGCAAAACATATTACAGAGGAGACAGGACATAAAACTGACGTTTACACACGTCTTTTAAACCCATCTATAAAACGTCTTTGGGGGAGGGCGTATCCTAAAGTTTCTGGAAGCCGTAGATAGCAATTAGAAGGTTGAAGCCACCTTCATGCGATTAAAGCAACAATTCGTCATCACACTAACTAAACCACCTTCCTTGGTAAACTTTGTTTTGATACCAACCAGGGTGGATGTACTATTACCTTTGTTATTTGGTTTAGTGACTGATCTTCATCGTTATTTTCACCTTCAATATGTCCTTTTAACTTGACCCATGTCTATTTCTATTTCTCTCTTGGCGATAAACATTCTTAAATATCATTTCATAACTTCTTGTATGAGTATAGCTATACTGTCACCATGCATAATCATATCGTAGCTTCCACTACCCAATACTGAGTTATTATTATATGATGTTTATTTTCTTTTCTACTTCTTGGTACTTTTTCGCATTTATAATTATTCTTGTGTTTATCCTGTTTTTTTGCTGTTGGTGTCTTTAGATTTGTTCTTTTTTTGTTTGTTTAATACTCCTTTTAAACGTTGGATAAAATTAGATGCAAATATTGTAGATATGTGCTGAAAATTCCACACTGTACCACTAGTACTGTTTCTGGAATAAAGCAAATTATTATTATTATTTATTAATTTCACATATATACATCTTCCTATAACAAATCCGTGTGTGTGATCAGATTGTTCGAAATGAGTTGTGCGCAAATACCCAATACACGATTCAGACAAATTACGTCTTCTTATTACTACTTTATCTAAATTCATAAAGGGAACTAATTATCTTAAACAATAATTCTATCTGATTGTTTTAATTGATTCCACCAGATAAAAAAATGTTTTTGCTCATAAGTACTTGTAAATCCCTTTTAGCTTCAACGTCAACGAAATCCCAAGTCACATCTGCCTCGAGAACCTGCTTGGAAATATTCAGGTCCAGTGAGTTTTGAATAAAAATTAGTTATTGTAATATATATAGTTTAATTAATAACACGTATGCACAAATTATTACTTGGCTTCTTTGAACAATATTCCTAATAGATATTTAGCTAACTTCCACACAGACCTATTAAAGTATTGGTTTTTTTAGGAATTTCACTGACTGGCTACAGGATTTCATCATGAGCTGATATTGGTTAGAGAACCACTGGAGTATTGGACGGTCAGTTGTTTCGTCAGTCCAGATGGGGACTATTCAGCAATGCACACCCACCCTGTTGCCGGGGTTCGAACCCAAGACCTTCTGGTTACAAGGAAAGCGAGCTAGCTCGTAGACTATTCAACCAGCCACTGGGACCTGATCTAATGGCCCGGTGAATTCCATTTCATAGACTGAGTTAAGGACGTAAGATAAAGTGGGACTAACGCTTCCTCTTAATAGTTGGCGAATATTTCGCTTGTTTTATTTACTGGGATAAGAAAACTAATCACGGCCTTTGATTACGCCAAGGATTTATCACTTTGAATAAGTCAGAGGCCAAAACCTGAAATCTGAGAATTTTCTGGTGATGTATTCTAGTAATTGTGTAAGGTATTTTGATAGACTCTACTGCCCACCTTCATGGATAAAAAAGCATACAATTCACTCCATTATGGATAAGATTTTATTTTAATAAAATCTCACAGTGTTGTGTTGTAATGTTTACTAATAACCACGTTTCTAGCACAAATTATTGCACTTATAATCATGTCAAGTCACTCACACAACTTTTTACTTCATTTATATACATGAGTGGAATTGATGATTACACATTTGAATAAAAATCAGTATAAGGTAACGTACATTCAGAAATAATAATATGAGTGTTACCAATCAAATACAGTCAGATGGGAAATAAGATGTTTTTAAAGTAAAAATAAGTAACTTGTTAGAATGTTATAATGTGAATAGAGTACATTTTAACATTATTTATTATCCTCCTCTGTTTGGACTGGTGGTAATAATGTCTTCCATTTCTCTGATATTTGCATTGAGTCATTTCTTTTGCATGTGTTAGGTGTAGGCTCAATGAACAAGGATTCAGTAATCAATCTCTCTCGCCCTCCACCTATCTATATTACTTTTTAGAATTTTGTCTCTGTACCACCCGCCCCATCGGGTGGTTGTGTGTAAATGCATGCAGTGCAATTGCTCAGTTTTTTCCTAACTTACTCATGTGTCTTCGTGGGGTCAATCATTCTAACCTCAGCTAAATTCTTATTTTCCGACAATCTCACTACTCCCGATCTACTAGTTTGACTGGCCTATATAGTTGACCTTACTCAGAGTCATTTCAAGGTATTTTGTAAATTATATTATTTTGTCTAATTGGGTCAGCCGACAGGGTCCTTTAACCTACAGAGCTTGTCTTACCTGAGTGAGTTTGTCGATTTGAATGCCATTCTAATTCATGCTTTGTTGAGAATCCTACGTATACGCAACAGAAATGACTCAATGCAAATACCAGCGATATGAAAGATATTGTTACCACCAGTCAAATCAAAAGAGGATAATAAATAATCTTAAAATGTATTCAATTCACATTATAACACTCTAACAGGTTACTTATTTTGACTATAAAAACGCTCGTCTTATTTCTCATCTGACTGCATTTGACTGATAACACTCATATTATCATTTCTGAATGTACATTATCCCATACTGATTTTATTCAAATGTCTAATCATCAGTTCCACTCATGTATATACATGAAGCAAGAAAGTTGTGTGAGTAGTGCCTTAACATGATTATGAGTGGCAATAGTTTGTGCTCGAAACGTGGTCATTAGTAAATATTACTGTACAACACTGTGTGATTTATCAAAATAAAATCTTATCCATAATGGAGTTATACTCTACCATACACTCCCAAGCTTTATACTTTGATCAATTAAGGCTTTTTTATTTTCATCTTTGCTTAATAATTGACAGTAACAAACCCAGATACACAGGCTAATAAAAAATATATTTAAGTGATTATGAAAGTCGACACTATTTATAGAGTAGTGCCAAAGCTCACTGGTATCCCTAACCACTGTTATTTTGCGATTCTTGTTAGACATTTCTTACCTGACAATAAAGTATCTTGTTATGTCATCAATTAGTCACTGATCAATTAGATTTAATTGTCAGAGGGAGCCATCATCGACGCTTATCCAGATACTTTTGTGATGTGTGCTACTGATAAGATTTACCAGTAGTATATAAAGAGGCTACAGGCAGAATGGATGAAGTAGTCAAAGCAGAATTGGAAAGGCAAGATACACTCTCATCATCCTGAAACCAGTTTGAAAATCTTCTGCTTCACTCAGCCAGTCGGTCAGCATGAAGAACAAGATTCGGATTCTGTTCAACACAGATGTGAAGGCAGTCATTTCTTCTATGTGGGTCTGAAAATCGGTCAACGCGTCACGAAAAGCATTTCCAACAGCCAGTTGCAGACTTTTATCAACAGCTGCCGACTTCGCTGGCTCTGTATTGAAAATGAAATTGCTGGCCAGAAAGAATTAGCAACAAGAAACCCTGGCTGACAATGAACCATACAAGAGCCGACTGCTCAAGAAATATATATGGGAGAAAATGAAGATTGGTTGGGCATATGCCACTGAGAAGAACGTCAAATGACACTAGGGTCAATGCAGGCCATCACTAGAGTGGAATCCTAATGGAAACCCACGAGGGGTTCGTCAATCAGAGGGTGACATGGAGGAGATCGTATGTTGGGGTAGAGGAGATGAGAGATTACAGACAATCGTCGGGTCAACTAGCTGAAGAGGACAGCGGAAAAAAAGAAGAGAGTGCAGATTAGTTGCTGAAGCGGAGAGATAGATTTGACATCAAGAACGACAAATGATTCGGCATTGTGGAAATAAACAGGAGAGGTGAAAAGGAAGACAAAGAAACACAATACAAAGGAACGTCAGAAGTAGCACAACATGGAAGATCCTTGCAAATGATGATTTGAAGATAAGGTGTACATAATTTTGCTATATAGAGATACCGAACTGCAAATAAACATTCCTACAATTTAATGAGGTTGGAAAATGAAGAAAAATGAAAACTAAACTTAAATATGAAGCACAATTAAGTCAGCTATGTGACATGACCGTCAATACGACCTCGTAGTTTAGGAGTCATCTTGCGCTGAGCCTACTATTCTTAACACTATTCATAAGGACAACCAACAGAACTCGATACCACTGACATCAGACACAAAGAAGAAACGAAGAAGATAGAACGTAAACGTACTGAGCTTTCACTGTCTTGGATTAATACTGAGGAATAATTGACAGCAGTTCCATCTCTCTATATATATAGGGTCAAATGACCTTGATTTAAATGGCCTTCATTTGATAAGGTAAAACAGTTAACAACCAATAGGGTTCAGAGGTTATGGGTGTGGAGGAAAATGCAAACACGACTTTACTGTGAAAATCAATGTAATATTTAGGAAAAATTAGGTATATTTAACATATTATTAGTCGAACATAAATGGTTAGTTGTTAAATGAATATTGTGCCTGTTAACTAACACATAATGTTAAGTAAACTTTACCCTCTAGCTATTACGTGGGAGTAAAAGAGTCCTAGTTTAGAATTTCTGAGTCAATCAAAGTAGTATATTTTGAAGAAGGATTTCGTATAAAATGTTATTTTTTACTCATGGAATACATATACGTATATATACATATACATTGAACCATAGGAATTATTAAAAAAAGATGGTTACAGCGAAGTCATCAACTAGGAGGCTGTATATTCGTTTACCTATAGTAGTAAATGTGTGGGAAAGTTCCAGAATTTTCATGCAACCGGTTCCCTTTATTAGTTTGAAGAGAAAAAGAATGAACATGTTTGCAGGATAATACGAGCTCGTTTTATTTCGTGGATTCTCATCAACTGCATACATCCTAAACAAAATCAAATTATAGGTTTCAAGAAAGTTGTGGAACATACTTTTTCATAAATACTTTGAGTTATGGATTGAAGGCATAAGGAACATAATTCCAGAATTTGATGTAGGTAGACAGGTTATTCGGTGTCAAAAAACAACTAATTATATATAGTGGAATTGGATAAGAGGGGTAAGAGTTCAGATTTCTATTGGAAAACAACACAGATTGATTAGAGGCATATTACAGGGTCAGGGTCAGAGAACAGAGTGAATTTACACATCTTGTGGTGGAGAGTTTAAGAGGGTGGGGGTGAATAGTGAAGTAACATTTATAACTTAAACAGACAAACAATTAAGTAGATTTAGAAACTTGAAGGTCAAAATTGAATAGAAGGTTACGTAACAAGACAAACGCACAGGCATACTGACAGAAAGGCAAAACAAAAATAAAATAAAATAGAGTTAGGGTTACCAAGGTAGTGAAAGATTAATCACACTATCTTTCTGTATACAAAGGTTTGGTCGAAATCTCTTGATAGCAATGGCTTCTGCGAAGCGACGTAGCCGTGGGTTTCTTTGTGTATTGATTATTTTGAAGGCTTGGCTGATTTCTACTGTGTGTCCTGTGTCAATTAGATGTCTGGCGATTGCACTTGATAACACTTTTCTTCCTTTTGTACGGAGACTCTTAGGAATGTGCTCAGAAAATCTAGTAGATGCTGTCCTCTCAGTCCTTCCTATGTACTTGCTACCGCAGGTGCACGTGAATTGGTAAATGCAGTTGGAGTTGACGTGAGTAGGGAACTCATCTACTTTTGACTGGGTTAACGAGCACACAGTGTTCCAGAATTATTTCCCGTCAAAGGTTAGATTAATAAAAGTACAAAATGTTTATAATCAGGAAGATCGTGTAGAAAAGACATCGTAAGATTATCACAATTACTGAAAAAACTTGACTGTTTGTGCAGTCGCGTATGAGAGACGTAGTGGTAACAGAATAAGTAGAAAGTTCGGAGAAGTATAAAAATGAAAATAACAGCAATCAAATCTAGTAATGCAGTTTGGAG